TCAGGCTGGAAGGCAAACCCTTCCCAGAGGCTCATCACTTAACCCAAGTACATCTAAAATGTTCATTAAACAGGGAGAGCAGGAGCTCTGGGCTCAGCTGGGCCAGGCCTCCTGCCCTGCCCCATCTCTTACCATCAATGCCTCCAAGCAGGCAAACAAACCAAAGATCATTATTTTTTCATATAATTGCCAGAATTGTATTAATTTAAACAGATAAACTCAATCAGTGAAGCTCATTAATTTCTAGCACATGGCTTATTTACGCCAATTCCGGCTGCTCCAGCTCTCATTGCGCTCTCATAGGAATGTCAATTACCTTTTAAAATAAAAATCAATGTTTATCCACTGTTAAAGATAAAACACAAAATGATTTCCTTAGACATGCTGCTGAGTGCTCTCCTCCCCAGCGTGATCCGAGTGCTCCCGGCGCTGGCAGCTGCTGCCCAGGGCCACGGGGGGCACAGCAGAGAAGGGGCCACCCAGAACCCCCCCCTGCACTCACCTCGGCCCCTGATCCTCCCTGCCCCTTCCCAGCATCTTCCCAGAGCCTGGTGTTTTCCTGCCATGTGGAAGGGCAGAGGGAGGAAGGTTGGGAGGATGCAGGGAGGAAGGAAGCTCAGGAGAGCGTGGGGGGAGCCCCTGGAAGCAGCTCCAGAGTGTTACCTGATTACTTTTCTAATGAGAAAAAATGAGAAAACCCTCAGAGCAAAGGGCTGGAAATTACCCATCAGCTGCAAACTTTTTTTTCCCCCCCTCTATTATTCAGAATTGTTTTGCTTTTCTGAACTGCCTTGTGTAGGTGGCACCAACCCCACAGATTCCAGAATGGGAGATGATGAGTCACTGTCAAAATGTAGATTTTTTTTTTTCCCCCCCCTTTTTTCCATTTAACACCGCTGAGGGAGTGAAGTCCCTGTGCCACGCGCCGATCGCTGGCACCTCGCGGGCTGGCGCTGCCAGGAGCTCCCAGCCCACCCGTGGTGTGGTGCCAAGCTGTGCTCGCCGTGTCCCCCTGGGGATGCCCATCCCGGGCACCTCCTGCTCCCCACAGCGCCAGCCCCGGGCGTGCTCCGGCTCTGTCCCTGCCAGGTGTGTGCTCAGGTGTGTGCTCACACCGGGCTCTGCTCACAGCCACAGCCCAGCCACCTCTGCTGCCTCCCCGCTCCTGCATTCCTTCCGTCTCACTTGGGTTTTTTCCACTGGTGGGGGTTTTTTTTTTAATATATAAAAACAGGAAAAAATGTCCTTCGGAACAGGCGTATCTGTGTAGGTGCCTCTGCTCAGGCACAAGCCACCACCGCAGAGAGGGGGAGAGGGTGTGAAATGCAGACGGAGCCAGATCCCTCCCGAGCCGGGGGAGCTGGTGTGGGGCTGCCGGGGCGACGGGATGTGCTGCGGGACAGCTCAGTCCTGCCGAGGAGGAGGAGGATTCCTCCCACTGCCAGGTGCTGAGGGCCCAGGGCCGGCGGGGCTGGGGGCTCTGGGCTCTGCCTTCACTCGCTCTCCTGGGCTCGGGGCCAGCAGTAACGGTCTGAGGGGTCACAGAGCTGGTGGGATGGCCAGGACTGGTCCCCTGGCTCCCCGAGGCTTCCCTGGCCTGGGGGAGAAGAGCCCCTGAACCCAGCTGCAGCAGCAGCTCCAGGGGGGTGCTCGGTGCTGCGCATCAGGGGCTGCAGCCCCCCCACCAGCCTTCTCCGCTCCTCTGAGCTGCTGTGTGCCTTTGAACTCGGGCTGTGTTGAAAAGCTGGTGATGCAGGAGGCAAACAGTGCGCTGGGGGGTGGCTGAGACCCCCCACAGCCTTCCCCAGGGCCACAGGAGCTGCGTGGTGTCACCCACTGAGCCCTGTGCAGTGGCCACCGGGTGCTGGCCGTGGCTAGCACAGACCCAAACCCCGGAGCTCTGCAGTCTCACACCAGGGACCTTGTGAAAAGAGCCCCAGGATGCCTTGCAGAGCCTGGAGCTGGGGAAGGAATAGGGATGAATTTCTCTCCATCTCTCCAAGCATCTGGGAGGTGGGTGGGAGGTAAAAAAAGATGAGCCCTGAAGTTTTAATTCCTCGGAGATATTTAGGTATCTTGCTCTTGTTACTCAGGGAGTGCAGAGCCTGAGCATCTCTGGGACTGTGCAGCAGGCTCCTTCCTACCCCAGCACTCCCCAGCTCAGCTCCGACCTCTGGCTCTCCAAAATATTAATTTTCCAGCTCCAGAGAACTTAGACCATAATGACCCGCCAGTTCCCCCAGATGGATTCAGTGTAACACTGTCTTTAGGAAGGCCATTACTGGAAACCACAACTCGGGAGATAACTCACTCGGATTTATCAGGAGGAGCAGAGAGCTGAGGGCTGGAATGTGACCTTGACTCCTGGCTGAGCCACTACCAGGGGGAGCAAGGAATTTTGTTCTCATTTGACAGTGGTCTCAGCTCATCCTCCTCAGCCCGAGTCTTCCTTTGCACACACCAGTAGCACCCAGAATGGTCCCTGGAAAACCGTTCCACCAGATGAAAAGTAATGAGATTTTAACACCATAACTGGAGCTCTTCAGTCTCCTGGCTCATCGGGCTGGGATCGATATTCTTGGCTGTATTTCCACCACTGCAAACCTATTTCCCTCACAGGCCCCTCCCCGTCCCCCAGGCCTCCCTGGGGAAAGGGGCTCTGACAGGAAAACAACCTGAGATCAAATCAATTAATTGCCTCTGCATGTGCCGATAAAGGCGGTGCGGGTGCTCGGGGCAGGGGGAGCCCGGCGGTACCGGGGAGCAGGGGGGGCACGGATCCTGCCCGGGGCTGGGAAAGCCCGGACCCTGCTGGGGCTGGGGGAGCACAGACCCTGCCCGGGGGCTGGGGGAGCACGGACTCTGCCCGGGGCTGGGGGAGCCCAAGCCCTGCCCGGGGCTGGGGTCCCAGCACCCAGCGTGCGGCTGGGGGCTGCGGGGCTGGGGGCGCTGAGCGGATCGCAGGATCGCGCGGGGTGCGAGCGGCCCTGCGGGAGGGGAGGGAGGGCAGGGCAGGGCAGGGGTGCCGGCACGAAGCTGCCCTGAGTGGGGAGTACGAGTCCCTCGGTGCCCGGTGAAACGCCGTGCCAGCCGCCCCGGGCAGGCTCGCTGCGGGGCCTGGGCCGCCGGGCGGGGACAGCCTGCAGGCGGTCCCGGTGCTGGCAGACACAAAAAGCCCTGGAAGGTTTTACAGCTGGAGGGGATTCCCTGGATTGACGTGAGGCCGGCACACGGAGAGTTTGAGCTGCGGCTGGGTGAGGATGGGGCAGAACGGGGCTGGCGCCGCTCCGCTCCTGCCGGGTGTGCGGCAGTGACCAGACAGTGACCAGGGAGGTGGCACCGGCCCGATGGCACCGACTGGTGGCAGGGCCGGGGCTGCTCCCCCTCCTGCTGAAGGGGGGGACAGGCAGGCCTGGTTCCTGCTGCTGCCCGCTGCCGGGGGGCTCCGGGCCGGCTCTCGGGACCCCCGGCACAGCCCCTGCCCTGGCGCTGCTGCCGGGCTGGGCTCCGGCCGGGAGCGGTGGCCATGAGCCAAGCTGGCTAATTGGGACTCATACTAATAGGGAAGGGAAATTCCTGAGATCCACCCCGAGACAGCCGAGCGGGCACGGGCGCAGCAGCGGCCGCAGAGGAGCGGAACCCGGGCTGTGCCTCAGGCTCGCAGCACGCAGCCAGGCTCAGGCACGGGCAGGGCTGGAAAGGGCACGGGAGAGGCTGGGATGTGCTGGGAGCAGCAGCCTGGCGTTCTCGGGCCGGGGAGGAGCCCCCAGCCCAGCCTGCCGCAGGGCACCAGCCCTGATGGGCTGTGCCAGCTCTCGGGGCACACCTGGGGCTGGGGAGGCGTTGGCAGGGACTGCGAGTGCCCAGAGGCGGTAGCAGGGCCAGGGCACGGCCCCTGGGACACGTCCCGGTGTCCCTTAGCCAGGCCCGGCTGTAGCGCCGGGAGAGGAGCACACGGAGCTGCATCGGGGGTCGGGGACCTGGGGGCTGAGGATGTGACACCTGGCCCCTCTGCTGGGGGGGCTGTGTCCCAGCCAGGACCCTGAGCAGCTGCCTCTCCCATCCTGGGGTCTTTTCCAGCCGCAGCTCCCAGGGGCAGCGTTCCCTCCTGGGGAGAACCTCGGAGGTCAGAGGGGATTTTTGGGCTTGCAGCCTTGTTGTGGTGTGTGCTTGGAGCCTGAAGTTGTGTGTCAGGTGGCTCGGCATTGCCATGACGACGGGCATCAGCTGGTGAACAGAGGGAGTAAAGGAGACAAAATAAATGTCAGAGTGTGAGTAGATGCCGCGGAGCCGGGGCTGCCCCCTGCCCCGGGCAGCCGGCCGTGTTCTCTGCCCGTGCCCGCTCAGCCGTGGCTGCAGCCCCACTCCAGCAGTGCCTGATGGCTGCAGAGCAGAGGGACCCGTGGGGAGCAGCTCTGGGGAGCGTGGGGCAGAGCCTGCTGGCTCTGGGCACAGGGACAAGGTGGGTGGAAGCCCAGAGCTGGGGGGAGGAGGAGGCTGTGCTGTGGAGCTGCTGTCCTCACCGTGCCCAGTGCATCCCCTTCTCCCACAGTTCCCAAAGCAACGGCAGCAGGCGATTCTCCCTCGGATGCTGTGTCTCCCTCTGGATGACAGCCTGCCTCCTCCAGAGCTTCATCTTCAGGCTCTGACTGATGCCTGTCGTGCTGCTCAGCTCCCCCGAGCGCAGCCTGGGAGCGTGCAGGACACCCCGAGGGCTGCCTTGTGCTGTCTGGAGCCCTGGTCCCTGGTGACGTGTCCTCCTGCTGCCATGGCAGAGGGGACAGAGCCAGCATGGCCTGAGCACGTGCTCTAGAGCCAGGATGCTGAGGGGCTGCCCTTCTGGGGAGATGCTGCAGTTCCTGCCACCCTCCGTGCCCCTTGCTGCTCCAGAGCAGTCCCACTCTGTGCCTCAGTGTCCCCCTTTAGAGCACGAAGGCCCCTGGGCTGCTGCACATCCTGGCCAGCAGGATCTGAGCATTTCCTGGCTTGTGTCTCCCCAGGAACCTTCCGAGGAGTGTGCAAGAAAATCGACCACTTCCCTGAGGATGCAGACTACGAGCAAGACACGGCCGAGTACCTGCTCCGTGAGTCTGCTCCTGTGGCACACCCCCTGGGCCCCTCGCACCGCAGGGCACCCCTCCCTGTGCCCTGGTGTCACCCAGCAGGAGGCTGAGGGGTCACAGCCCCCCTGGGCAGCATCTGGGCCCTCTGGGCTACCCGAGCCTGGCCGTGCCATGCTGCAGTGCCACGTGCTCATGGCACTGTCCCCACGGCCAGTCCCAGCAGCTGCTGCACAGCCTGAACCTCTTGGTGCCCCCACGGGGGACCAGGACCCCACAGGCCCCAGGTGCAGCACACAGGGACATGTCTCCACATCCCTGCTGGTGTCCCTGCTCCCCTCCCTGCTCCCCGAGCCTCCAGCCAGGCTGGGCTTGCCAGGAGAGCACGAGCAGCAGGTGCCAGGTGCTCTGCACGGGCAGCCGAGCACAGGGACACAGAGGGAACTGAGCTGGCAGATTTCCTGGGAAAAGTGGGTCCTCCTGTCCCAGGGGCCAGCCAAGCTCCGGGGCAGAACCACAGACCTTCCCACAGCACCCCAGAATGGCCCAGGTTAGAAGGGACCTTAAAGCCCAGCCCAATCCACTTTCCTACATGGACCAGCTTCCAAAATGACAGTAGAGAGTAATGAATGCAGCAGATCACTACCTGCTGCACCAAAAATACACTGTGCCTTGGCTTGGGCTCTCATCCCTCCAATAGGGCCGTTATTAAAGCAGAGAAATACAGAGAAGCTCCATTAAAATTCCACTCCTGGGGGCTTTAAAATAGACTTTTTACTTTAAATGTGAGAGGGAGTGGGAGAACTTCAGCACTAATCTACTAAAACTGCAAAGCCATTTCATTAAATTCGCTCTCCCCTCCACTGGGTGAGCAGAGCTGTGGAAATCTGAGAGTCCAGAGCAAGAACTGGATTGAGCAGCAGCTGGGTCAGTCGGGGGGCTGGGCTGAGCACCAGGCCATGGGCACAGGGCCCTTTCCCAGGATTCCTTCCAGCCCCAGCAGCTCAGGGAGTGCCCAGCCTGCTGCATGCCCCTGCTGCCTCTTGTTTGGAAATGCAGAGCTTGGGTGAGCCCTCAGCAGCCTGGCACACACGTGTGGCTCTGCATGTCAGGGGTGTCACCTGTGTCCAGCCTCTGTCACGGTGCCTGGCACATGCCCACACTGAGGGGACAGTGTCCCTTGGCTGCAGGGCCACCCTCACCCAGCCTTGGGACTGCCCATGTTTCTGCTGAAAGAGGGGAAATTTGGGTGAGATATGCAGAAGGAATCCTTCCCTGGGAGGGTGGGGAGCCCTGGCACAGGTGCCCAGAGCAGCTGTGGCTGCCCCTGTATCCCTGACAGTGCCCAGGCCAGGCTGGATGGGGCTTGGATGGTGGAAGGTGTCCCTGCCCATGGCAGGAGGTGGCACTGGATGGGATTTAAGGTCCTTTCCACCCCAAACGATTGCAGAGCTCCATGACAAGCAGAGGATGCCTGGTGAGGACCGGTGCTGGGTCTCCCCATCCATCCTGGCAGCACAAGGGGTGCCCTGCACGGATCCTTCCAGGTGCAGGGGGTGCTGGGGCTGATGCTGCCCCTCTCCTGTCCCACAGGTGCAGTGAGAGCATCCAGCATCTTCCCCATCCTCAGCGTGGGGCTGCTGTTCTTCGGGGGGCTGTGCGTGGCCGCCAGCGAGTTCTACAAGAGCAAACACAACGTCATCCTCAGCGCCGGCATCTTCTTCGTCTCTGCAGGTGGGAGCTGCCAGGGGCTCCTCCGGCCTGGGGGACACGGGGGAGCAGGGGCGGGGTGTGGGTCCTCCCAGGCTGTCAGCACTGAGAGGTTCTGAGGTGTGAGAGCTGTTCCAGCCCTGTGGGAACATCCCCACAGAAGGGAAAAACTGTCAGGGCTCTCTGGCCATGGTCCCTGTGCCAGAGATGGCTTCGAGTGCCCCCCTGCCCTGCCTCGAGCAGAGCCCACTTGGGGGCACAGCCCAGGAGGGGCTCCCCAAGCGCAGCCATCCCCCTGGGGGTTACCAGACCCTGGGACAGGGACTGGGGGCTCTGCCCTCCATCCTGGACAGTCGGTGGGCACTGGGCCAGCAGCAGCAGGACCAGGCAGAGGGGCTGCCACATGGAGATCACTCTCTGGGGAGGCTGTTCCTGCTGGATTACTCATTCCTCTGTGCTGCTCCCCAACGCTTCCCCTGATTATCGCGTGACAATGTCTTTGTCTCAAGGAACCGCTCTATTTTGTGTTTTTCTTCTCCCCACAAAAAGACAAATGACTCTTCCTCCCTGGCTGGCAGGAGCTGCTGATGCAGACGAGAAAACAGCAGAGAGAACATAATCGATTCATTAAGTAAATCTGGGAATGCACCAGCCTCTCCCCAGCCTGCAGCACAGCCCTGCTGCTGCTGGTGGGGCACAGGCTGCCCCTGCCCCAAACAGAGCCTCAGGACTCCACCAGAAATGGAAGGAGATGGAGCCATTCCAGCTTCCCTGTGCTCCTAGGGCCATGGCGAGCTGGCTTCATGCTGGGAGGACCCCCCTGCACCCCTCAGGCTGGCTCTGCTGCTGCATGACACTGGGCAGGTTCCTGCATTCGCTGTTCAGCAAGGCAAAGCACAACCAGCTCCCAAAATGTCCCTTTTCTAGAGAAAACAGTGGTTATTCCTCCTTCCTGGGAATGTGTAAGGGATAAGTGTGTAAGGGAATGCAAAAGTGTCCTGGGAGATCAGTTCTGCAAGGGGATTTGGTCCGAGTGTGCTGGCAGAGGGTTGGTGCCCCATGGGGACATGCTCCCCCATCCACTGCTGGCACTCAGGTGAGCGCCTGCCCCGCCTGTCCCCCCGCAGGTCTCAGCAACATCATCGGGATCATAGTCTACATCTCGGCCAACGCGGGGGACCCGGGGCAGAGCGACTCCAAGAAGAGCTACTCCTATGGCTGGTCCTTCTACTTCGGGGCGCTGTCCTTCATCATCGCCGAGATGGTGGGGGTGATCGCCGTGCACATGTACATCGAGAAGCACCGCCAGATCCGCGCCAGGTCCCACTCGGAGCTGCTGAAGAGGTCGGCCTTCACCCGCCTGCCCCCCTACAGGTACCGCTTCCGCCGGCGGTCCAGCTCCCGCTCCACCGAGCCCCGCTCCCGGGACATGTCGCCCATCAGCAAAGGGTTCAGCACCATCCCCTCCACCGACATCTCCATGTTCACCCTCTCCAGGGATCCCTCCAAGGTTACCATGGGGACGCTGCTCAACTCGGAGCGGGACCACGGTTTTTTACAGGTCCATAACTCCATCCCCAAAGAGTTCAAGGAGTCTTTGCACAACAACCCGGCCAACAGACGAACCACGCCGGTCTGAGGCGGGCTGGGCCGTGGGCAGGCTGCATGGCATCACCCTCGTGACGGTGTAACCTGTGAAACCCCGTTTTTAAGGACAAACCCGCAGGCTCCCCGGGCCCCTGCCCGTGGGGCTGGTTTTTCACTCCTGAAATGCCACTGGCCGGGCCAGGCCGCCGCGCCTGCGGTGGGAGCGGGACCCCCGGCGGGGAGGGGACAGGGCCGCGCCGGGACCCTGGCCCTGGTGCCCTGCGGACTGAGCGGGCTCCAACCCCCCGGGACAGCGGCTTCCCGAGGTCTCCATCGTTCGTGTGATCATAACCGCAGTGTTCCCATAGCTGTGTGTCCATGGAAATGCTGGCGATAGCCCTGTCCGTGAGAACCCTTACCCAGTAGTTACATTTCGGTGGAATCGCCTGGAAGTCCGGAGCTGGAAGCACTGAGCTAGTGCCGGAGCGATGCTTGTGTTCCGAACCCCTTTCCCTGTCGTGCTGGATGGAGTGCTCGGGCTGGGTTCCTCTATGGCGTTTCGTGCATGCATTAAATAGCTTGGAATTCAATTTTGTCATGTCGGGTTGGAAGAAACATCCTTTTGCAATTTTCTGTGGTCTCGAAAGGGCTTATTTCCTTCCCTCCTTCCCTCCTTCCCTCCTTCCCTCCTTCCCTCCTTCCCTCCTTCCCTCCTTCCCTCCTTCCCTCCTTCCCTCCTTCCCTCCCTCGAAAGGACTCAGGAGCAGAATTACTCCAGTGACTGGTAGCAAGTATCCAGCGTTTAATTCACCTCTAACGTTGCAAGGAAATGAATTACTTCCCTACAGTTGGTACACACGCAGTCAGAGATGACTGTCTGGGCACAGCCGAGGGGCAACGCGCGACCGTGGCGCTGCGGGAGCGGCTGCAGCCGCGTGCGGATGGGGTGAGATTCCCTAATGGCTGGGAGATCCATGAGAAAAACAATAAAATTGTCCAGTTTGGCAAGTTGCTTGGCTGAGTAGGTGACACTGACCCCGCAGTGGGCACCGAGAGCGGCGCAGCGTGGCCGGCAGGGAGGAGGGAGGTCAGGCTGGGGCTGCCACGAGCGCGTGAGCAGACGGAGGCTGGGCTCTAAACTCTCCCACTGGAGCAGAGCTCGTCTAAGTGGAGGCAGTTCTGAAGCGGTTGGTCCGCGGTGATGTGTCACTTAATTGGAATCTGATTGAACCTTCTGATGGAAGTGGCAGATCCCCACGGGGTCCCCGGGGCTGCTCAGGGGCCAGGAGGGCTCTCGTTCACTGCACTCCTGCAGAAGGGGAACATCTGGTGTGCAGTGTGTGAGCCTGAGCAGCCTCGGCCTGGGTCTGCACATCCTAATCCTTGCTGGGAATAACGGACAGGCCGCTGGGAAACCCGGCACAGGAGCTCTGCTGGGGTGAAATCCTCCCGGGAGCTCCACGAACAGCCTCAACATCAGAAAGTGCAGCCCTTTCTGCACTTTCTTTGCACAATTGCAGAATTCTTTGGGGTGGAAGGGACCTTAAAATGCTTTGGGGTGGAAGGGACCTTAAAGCTCAAGCCATTCCATGGGCAGGGACAGCTTCCACCATCCCATCCAGCCTGGCCTTGGACATTTCCAGGGACCCAGGGGCAGCCGCAGCTGCTCTGGGCACCCTGTGCCAAGGCCTCCCCACCCTCCCAGGGAGAATTTCAACTCCCTCGCCCTTATTTGCTACTGTTGCAAAGGGGGTTGTTCGAGAAGGCTGATTCAGATGCTAATTAAGCCTCTTAATTGCCGTAGTTGCTGATTGCATGTGTTAAAAACAGTCAAAGGAGAGTTGCACCCCCATCTTAGGGCAATATTTAAAAGCAAAGCAGGGAATGAGCTGGCAGTGCTAAACAGGAGTAGCACGGAGTGGAATGACCCACAATGACCATCCCCAACTTCCCGAACGCTTGGTTGTGATTGTGGCCGGCCAAAAGCTAAACCAGGGCCTTAAGGGCACAGCCCACATCCCTTTTCAGCCCTGGCAGGCGTGGGGCAGCGACCCAGCATGCCTGAACCGTGTCCAGGCAGGCTCTGAGCAGCCGGGGGCTAGGAGCGCCGGAGCCGCAGTGCCGGCCCGGCTGCTCGCGTTGGTGGAGGCAGAGCGGGCAGTGATTGAAGGTGTTTACTGCCACGTGTAATACCTTCCCTTTGTGCCCGTGTCTTTCCCCTGGAAGAGAAAATCAATACCCAGGCTAAATCTGGAGGCTTCAATATTTCTCAGAGAAGTGCAAATCAATATGGATTTCTTAACAAGTTTAATTTCAATACCTGAAAGTGCACATTCTGCCCATTCTCTGACCTTTCCAATCCCCGGGAGAGGAGGATTAAAAAGATTTGTTCAAATTCAACGAATTGAATCGGCAAATGCCCCATTAGCTTGTTTTCTTTCCGCCAGACCTCGATAAACAGTATGATAGCCCATCGTCCGCGCGTGGCTGCCAGCGCCGCTCCAACGCCGGGCACGGCAGCGCCTGTGGTCACCTCCTCGCGGGCAGAACAGCCCAGGCTGGTGACAAAGGGCCACTGTCACACGGAGAGGCACCCGCTCCCCCTTCTCCGAGTGCCAGCGGACCCGCACCCCACCGTGAGCCCGATCCTGCCGTGCTGCCGAGCCGGCTGATTTATGGCGCTGCAGTGCTCTATATTTATCCTACAATGGCTTTGTGCAGCGTTAGATCATCGGGGGAGCCCTGTAAACACTGCGAAACCAGCGGAGCGGGCTCGCACAGACTCAGACTTTGCCCTTGGAACGGTGCCCGGGCAGGAGCGCACAGCCCGCAGGACACAGCCCGTGTGCGGTGGCAGCAGCGGTGTCGCGGGTCCCGCACAGCCCGCAGGACACAGCTGTGTGCGGTGGCAGCAGCGGTGTCGCGGGTCCCGCACAGCCCGCAGGACACAGCCTGTGTGCGGTGGCAGCAGCGGTGTCGCGGGTCCCGCACAGCCCGTGTGCGGTGGCAGCAGCGGTGTCGCGGGTCCCGCACAGCCCGTGTGCGGTGGCAGCTCCAGCAGCGGGTCCCGCACAGCCCGCAGGACACAGCCCGTGTGCGGTGGCAGCAGCGGTGTCGCGGGTCCCGCACAGCCCGCAGGGAAGCGGGGCTCGGTGTGGCCGGCGCGCCCTGCAGGCACACGGGGCTGGCCGGGCGCTGCTGTGCCGCTCCCTGTGCCTCCCAAGGGAAGGGTTTCATCGCTCTCTTGGTGCTGTGGTGACAAACCCGGCGGCGAAGCGCTGTCAGCCTGCGGGAGCTGGCGCTGGCACGGAGCCCGCCGAGGGGAAATGGCAGCTGGGTCCTGGCTGCAGCACGGAGCTTGGCGTTTCACCCGCTTTTCCCTAATTCCACGCCTACATCAGGACAAATGCACTGCCCTCTCTCCTGTTTGCTGCAATGGACGCTCCCTAGTCCCTGTTCCTGCGGGGTGTTTCTTCCTCAAAAGCATCCTTTGTCCTTTCTGGGTTTGATTTTTTGGGAATTTTTACTGTTTGCCATAGCTCATGGGAGTCTGGGTAAGGCCAAACCGTTTATATCGTGTGTTGATTATTTACTTGATGGACAGTAATGGTTTCTGTGGTGCCGTTACTACCTGTCATCTAAATCCAAACGCTGAGGTGCTGTAAAGGGCAGCCTTTCACTGGGGGCTGGAATAGCTTCTCCAGCATCATTATCCTGCACATCCGTAAATCTCCAGCCGACCACAGCCGCTAAACACAGCCCTCAGAAGTTCCCCGGAAAATTTTCAACAAATAAGACTTTCACCTGCTCTTCAGTAATAAACTCCTGTCCCTCTGCCATTATCCTCCCTCCAGCCACTAGAGGAGAAAATCCTCCTTCAGCACCTGAGCTGGTGTTGGAGAAGGTCAGCAGGAGCTGGGGGTGTGTGGGATGGGAGCTCTGTGCCCGTGGCTGCAGCTCTGGGGCTGCTCCATGCTGGGGAGCCCTGACAGCTGCCCTGGGAACAGCAGGGGAAACAGTGATGCAGGTAAATGCAATTAGGAATTAATTACCACAGCTTCTCATTGCCTGCTCCTGGTGCTCCAGTACCCAAAGAGAGCCTGCAGGAAAGATGGAGGGAGAGTATTTATTTACCAGAGCATGTAGCGACAGGACAGGGAGGAATGGCTGCACACTGTCAGAGAGTAGATGGAGATTAGATTTGGGGAAAAAGCTCTTCCTTGGGGTGCTGAGGTCCTGGCACAGGTTGCCCAGAGCAGCTGTGGCTGCCACATCCCTGGCAGTGTCCAAGGCCAGGCTTGGAGCAGCCTGGGATGGTGGAAGGTGTTCCTGCCTGTGGCAGAGAGTTGGATGAGGTGCTGCTCTCACTTTGCTGAATTAAAGTTTCAGCTTCTTTAATAACCTGCAGGTCCGCTGGAAAATTGTGACGAGTGGCATCAAGAAGCAACTCGGTAAGTTTATTTTGATGAAATACAATAATTATCATGCTTAGCAGCTGTTGCTATTTAAAATAAGAAAAAACGGGGCTTGCATTGAAAATGTTTTGTAAACCATGTGCACCAACAATCTGTTCCAATGAAACCAGCCATTATGGAAACGGTATAATAGCAGGAGCTCATTATGGAAAGTTAAATTGCAAATCATATTTTGTTTCAAATGAGCTGGATGAATGCATAATTTGCCTCAAAGAAATAGTTTTGTAGTTCTGATCCTCCTGCCAAGAGCTGAAGCTCTTGGGCTGCAGCTGCCGTGGCGGCCTGATTGTCCATTTCAAACTGCAGGAAGTTTGGGTTTCAAAGGAAGATTTGAAGAGAGAAAAGGGGAAAAAAAAAGTGAAGGAATAAAAGGCAGAGCAGTGGGAGCTCTCAGTTGGTTCCCTGTGTGAGATTCTGGTGGTGCAGGGTGGGTTTCAAACACATCAAGGGCCTGTGTGGGGCTGGTCACAGTCGCTGTGCTGGAGCCAGACCCCACACCGTGGGCAGAGCCGGATCCCCAGGAGCTGTGGTGACAGCCGAGGTGACAGCCGTGCCTGGGAAGGGTGGCACATGTGGTGCCACGTAGCTGAACACACGTGCCAGAGCATGGCCCTGGGGCCACCCCGAGCCCCCCCATGGCACAGCACTGAGGGGGTCCCATGCAGGTGCTCCCTGAGCTCTGCCAGCCCTGCTCCATTCAGGATGTCACCGGAGAAGCCACACAGCCACCGCCCAGGTGACAAACCCCCAGCCCCGCAGGACCTGCTGGCACAGCTCTGCTGGCTCAGTGCTGCAGGGCTGGCTCGTGGTGCCTCGTGCCCAGAGACCTGTCCTACACGTGGTGGCACGTGAGATCACACGAACAGCTGATGGCATTTCCTTGTCACGGGGTGGCTCCGGGGACGGGCAGCGGTGGCACAGG